ATCTTGCCAATTGGCCGACAGCGAGTATCAAATACAGAAATCTTTTTAACAATACGATCTTCATCATCTACCCAATTTCTGGCCAGTGGATTAAACCGTGTTTCAACTCCAGTTAAATACAATGAACAAAAAGTCAGAGCTTCGTTCACAATGTATACCTCAGCAATCGAACCCTCAGGACGTGCACGATTCTTGACATATTCTTTAACAATCTAAGAAAACGTTCAAACGGATACATCCATCTTAAGTGAACTGGTCCTCCTCGAATGGCTTCTTCAGGCAAGTGTATAACTAAATGTACCATTATGTCAAAAAAGGCAGGAGGAAAAATTGCTTCTAACTTGCATAAAATAAGCACAATATCTTGTTGAGCTTTCTCTAAATCACTTTTTCGCAATGTCCTTGAGCATATTAACTCAAAAAAATTACTTAATTCTGTTATTGCATCAACGATCTCTTTCTTCATGAATGGTCATATCCCTATTGGCAATAATCACTGCATTATGATGTGACAGTCGTGTGATTTTAGCCCAGTAATTTTTTTCTTCCCTTCGATCACATTTTTCTTTAAATTTGAAGCAAATCCATCAGGAAACCTTACTGATTTTAAAAAATCACAAAACTTTTTACCGTCGTCGGGAGATAGTGTATAAGACGCATGTGGTTTCATCCAACGATCACCGTCTTTGTACAAATGCAACTCCTTGCGCACCCCCATATTTTGTAAATCGATTCTCGCCTTATCTGTATCTTTACTTTTTCCGTCAATGTCTAGAATTGTTCCCAATAAGTTGTCGCATACATTCTTCTCAATATGCATGACATCTAAGTTGTGACGTAACGACAATGACTTCCAATAAGGCAACTCCCAAAAGATACTCTTCTTTGTCCAATTAAGCTCGATTGCATGTCTTTTCCGCTTCTTATCACCATACTTTTCATGTTTACCAGGCAATCTGATGGACACATTTTGTAACTGAGCTAAGATTTGGTGAACAGATTTCCGAGCCGGTGGAGGTCGTTTCTCAACCAGACCATCAAACTTTTTATTTTTTTCTCATCCCATGTTTAATAGGAAGCCATTGCCGATGGCCAACAAAATAAGTCTTACTTGTTATCCTCTTTGAAGGAGTTGCATCGTTGCAAGTTGGGCATGCTAAATAGCCCTGACCACTCCATCCAGATAAACTACTACAGCAGGAAAATCATTAACTATCATGAGCAACATAGCCCGCATCTGAAATGATGTATTCAAAACTACGTCACGTACAATGACTCCTTCATTCCACAAATCTTTTAGCTCATCCACAAGGGCCTTAAAAGACATCCATATCCTTTCCGGGTGCATTTGTGCCAGGAATCAACAATGTCAACATCTTATAAGGATCCTTAGTGCATAACTACGGAGGTAAATTGTAGGCTTTTAAAACCACCAGCCACATATTGTATGAGAGGCTCATGTTCCCGAAAGGATTGAAACCATCAGCGGCCAACCCCAAGCAATCATTTCTCGGTTCACGTGAAAACTCATGATACTTTTCATCTACCTCTTTCCATTCATTACCATCGACTTGATGACGCATTAAATCCTCATCATTTGAACGTCCATGCTAGTGCCACATCATATCTTTAGCTGTGTGATGAGAACCGTACAGATGCTTCAACCGATCTGTTAACGGGAAATAATGTAGTACTTTCCACGGCACTTGTTTAGTACCCTTTGTCTTTTTTTTCTTCCAATGGGATGTTTTACATACGGGACACATTTGTAGATCAGTGTTCTCCTTTCAAAACAAAGCACAATCATACTTGCAGACATGAATTGTTTCGTAACCCAGTCCAAGTTTACTCATGAGCTTCTTCGACTCATAATGAGAAGAAGGTAACTTCACATCCGGGAATGCATCTTTCAATAGATTTAACAGAGCATCCATACACTCATTAGGCCACTTATATAACACTTTTAAATGCATCAACTTCACTAAGAGATTTAAAGACGAATACTTAGTGCAGTCTGGATACAATCCCACCTAGAGCTCAGAAAGTAGATCCTTAAATTCAACGTATTGTGCATCTTCTAGATCCACATGCGTCTCATCCAACATTTCATTGTCATCATTAATCCCAGCAACTTCTTCTAAGACTGCAAACATCTTGTCTACTGGTTTATTAACTATTGGTTCGACACCTGAAACCGCTTCTACTTCACCATGGTGAATCCATGTACTATACAATGGATCAAAACCAAATCGATGTATATGCGCTCTCACAGTTTCTACTAGATGCATTTCATGGTTTATACATTTCACACAAGGGCAACTGATATGGCTAATTGAAGTTGCATAATTTTTGGCGACGTCAACAAAAGCAAATAACCCATTCCAATATTCATCCGACAATCGGTTCCTTAAATAAGTCCAACTTTTGTCAATCGGCATTTGAACTATAAACAAGAACATACATAATAATTTATTAATGTGTTTAATTAATTTTAATTCTAGTCTTTATTGAGACAATTAAATTTTATTAATTAAAGTTTCTTAATGAACTTATTAAAATTCTTAAATCCTAACTAAATTTTGGCAGCATAACGACTTATTTTTCATATGATCCAAAAATCAAAACCTGTAGAAAAATAACTTTAAAAGATTTCGGCAAACCATAGTTGCAAGATGTG